AATCCATTTGTTACTTGATGTTTGACGGTTCAGTGTCACTCATCATGTTTTGGTTTTTACATACATACATACATACATACATACATACATACATACATACATACATACGTACATACATACATACATACATACATACATACATACATACATACATACATACATACATACATACATACATACATACATACATACATACATACAAATGCATGTATGTTTGTGTGTAATTAGTAGATCTATATATATATGTATGTATGTATGTATGTATGTTTGTATGTATGTATGTATATATGTATGTATGTATGTATGTATATATGTATGTATATATGTATGTATGTTTGTAATTGTTTTTGTATGTTTACATGTACTCATGTACATGTGTATAAAGTTATATTCATGTGCGAAAAACATTTTTTCAAGTTTATACATCAATTTTTAATTGAAAAATACCGTTTTACCAAAAGTTTTTTTTTTCCTTCTTTTTCTTCTTCTTCTTCTTCTTCTTCTTCTTCTTATTATTATTATTATTATTATAGTTATTTTTATTCCTATAATTCCTTCATTCAAACAATCAATCAATCATCTATTTAGCTACATGCACGCATTTTTCTCTTCAATTTTTTTCGTCCGAATTTTTTTCTAAAAGATTTCTTTTCATGTGGACTTACATTCGTCTATATGCAATCGTTTCAATGGCTCTTTTTTTGTTCTATTATATTTCTTTTCTTGCTTTACTCTCCGTCTATTTGTCTGTCTTTTTTACTCTCTTTCTCTCTCTTTTTTTTCTCTCTCTTTCTCTCTCTCTCGCTCTCTCTTTCTTTCTGTCTCATTACCATCTCTGCCGTGGATTCTTTTTTCTCTCTCTCTTTAACACAATTTCTAATTTTTAAAATATTTTCTTTTTTCTCTCACTCAATCTTTCTCACTGTCTCTCTCTCTCTCTTTCTGTTTCTCTCTTTTTCTCTTTTTCTCTTTTTTTATATTATCTTTCATCATGTTTTTTCTTCTTCTATTTTGTTTTCATGCATGTATACATCCCACTTAAGTTTTCTCCGTGTCTCTTTTTCTCGATTCTCCACTCTGTCTTGCTTTCTCTCACTTTCTCATTTTTTAAACTTAATTTTCATTCTCTCTTTCTTTTTTGCTCCAATTTTCTCCATTTCTCTCTTTCTCTCTCTCTCCCACGATCAAGTTCTTTCACGTAGTCTCGTACGTTTGGAGAAAATTGCGGGGCATGTTTCATGAAAGCCTCCATCAAAATGTCCACTGATTGATTGGAGGATAAAATGTTCGCGGGAGAGATAGCGATGGGAAAGGAAGAGAGAAAGAGAGAGATAGAGAGAGAGGAAAAGTGAGAGAAATGGAAAAAAAGAAAGAAGAGGAGAGAAAGAGAAAAATGGAATAATGATATCGGATGAAATATTTAAAAAAATTTTTTTTTTTTTATGACGACATGCGAACAAATACAGCGAGATTAAATTGAATTTCATATTGTAAATGCATCATCCCATTTATCTGCTTGTGTTGTTTTTCACGAAAGTTCTTCCAAAACATACACACTCGACACACACACTCGACACACACACACACACACACACACACACACACACACACACAAGCGAACCAAAAATCATTATTTTTCTTGATTATGATAAGTCAATCTACAGTCCAACGTAATCAACATCTCGTCATTTACACAACCTGGTACCAAAAAGAAATACTATCGATAGAAAATTTATTTATCAACTCAACGCGGGTTATTTTAAATTAATTAAATTATTTAAAATTAATAACCTGTTATTTTTAATTATTTTTATTTTATTTTAGTTTTTTGACCAGCTTTAATTTTTTTTTAATTTGTTCAAATCAAATTTTTACCCCAAAGAAACATTTGTTTGAAGTTTGGCTTCCTAGAGAAATTTTCACTAAATTTGTCTGCTGAATTTCTAAATTTTTTGGAATTCGCATAGTATGGAAGAAAAAACTTGAATAGAAATGTATGAACAGAAAAAAACAAAACACACACACGGTTACACACCCACACTCACACACACAAACGTACTCATACAAACATAAAAACACACACGTATTCTTTTATCTTCTTTCTCCCTTTATCTTTCAGACACACACTCTCTCTCTCTCTCTCCTGTCTCTCTTTTCTCATACAAACAACAACAACGTATACGTTCCTACCAACACGGATACACATACAAACATCACACCCATACACACACACACACACACACTCACGCACAAGCACACACGCACGCACACACAAACGTAGATAAATAACTATGGAATGCCAAATGCGCACGTTTATTAATATATGTAAATATCCTGGAACGATCATGGTTGACAACACTCCGGGAGAATTAAGATGTCCCACAAAAATGAAGATGATGATGATGATAGTGTTGAGGTGATGATGATGATGATGTTGATACTGATAAAGATGTCACCGAAGATGATGGTGGTAAGGCTGATAACGACGATGACGATGATGATAACAATGATGATGAAGATGACGATGACAATGAGGACGGAGATGACCGTACTGATAGTGATTAGAGCAGCTGATTGATTGGAATATGATGCAAGAAAATTTGGAGGAATTTATGGGCTCTGAGTGCTGCTCATAACAGTTGTAATGATGAGTCCGACCAATGATTGACGGCATGAAAGAAAAGGGAAAAATAAAAACGAAGAAAAATAGAAGGAGAGAGAAAAATTGGGAGAAAGTGAGAGAGAGAGAGAAAGAGAAAGATTTAAAAAAAGAAAGAAAGAAAAACTGAAGGGGAAACAAAAAAAAAAGACATACAGAAAAAAAGAGATTCAGAAAGAGAGAGAGAGAGAAAAAAAGAAAGGACTAGAGAGAGAGAGAGAGAGAGAGAGCTAGAGATGAAATATGATAGACACACAAGCACATATAAAGATGGAGAGAAAGATAGAGAAAAAAAAGTGAGAAAGTAAGAGAGAGAGAGAGAGAGTTTAAGAGAGAGAACGAAAATGAGCTAGAGAAAAAATAAACAATTAGAATGAAAAA